AACATCTGCAGAAGTGGAAATCTGAAGTTTCCGTAGCCTCGAAATCTCTGGCCGTTGATTGTCCAGCCGATTGACGCAGTGTTTCGTACTGCCGTACTTCTGTTTGTCCTCTTTGTCTCGCTCCTTTGTGGCCACTCCTTAAATGGAGCCGTGGCGCTGTTTGAACTCCGTAGGCCCCCGAGGGCCAGTGCACCACACCGATCCCTGTCCCCACCCTCTGTTGTTTGTTTTGCCCTCATTTCTGTGTGAATGCGAGTCACTCTCTGTGTGTTTGTGTGTGTGAGTCAGTGTTTGTATGTCTATGTGTGTGTATTCTGTTAGCAGCCCAGGGACAAAGACATTGCTGGAGATAATCCAGCCACACACACTTCTCTCTCTGTTAATATTAACTCCTTCTTTCCGTCTCTCGTTTCTTTTTCTCTCCTTCTTTTATATGAAGGGATTATAATTGCCACAGAGCAGGCAGCGGCGCAGCGGCCAGTTAGCTCAGTGGTTCTACTGATTCTGTAGTTATCGCTAACAGTCGACGGTGAAACTTGAACTATTAAACCTGGAAATCATACAGAGACGTGAACTTAATAAATAGGACACTTGAAAACAGATACTTCAGCCTGTTTGATGGTTGTATTGTTATTTATGAACAGTGTTCTAGGCTAGCTGTTAGCATTTTTCTTGAGTAAATTCCATGACTTTATTAACGTTCTGATTCTTCTTGAAGAGGTTTTTTTTTTTAGATTTTTTGTATGGGTTTTGGCAATATAACATTTAAGTCTGTTGGATTATTTTTATTTCTATTTTGGCTACATATTTGTAAAGTAAAGGACTAAAGAGGGGCCTAGAACAGGACAGTGTGCATTTAAAAATTGGACAAAAAACATGAGAATCTGTGAATGAAAGCAAATCAGCAAAAAGCCGTGGTTTCAACATTAAACACTACAGCCCTCAGGGGCCCAGACACTGTAATGAGGCTGCTGCAGTTAACAGCATTTTGTGGTTAATGAAAACCTCACAGGTCTGTGTTGTCGTTTCTGTTTTGTTTTCAAGGAAGGCATTAATATTCAGCAACAATATTTTTTTCACTCCCAATAAACTGACATTAACGGGTGAAAGAAAAAAAAAATAACCCAATGTAATCTTTGTGCCCGTTTTTAGATTTTTATCACCGTCAACTGTCTGAGCACAGACTTCTCCTCTCAGAAAGGTGTGAAAGGGCTCCCCCTAATGATCCAGATCGACACCTACAGCTACAACAACCGTAGCAACAAACCACTGCACAGGGCATACTCACAGATCAAGGTCTTCTGTGACAAGGTCAGTTAAAAAAAATCACTCACATAAGAAGTTGTTTCTAATCCTTTATACTTTAAAATATATTTTTCAACATGAAAAATATATATATTTATTTTTTTCATAAATAACGTTGGCTCTCGTATAATTTAATTATATTAGATTCATGCAAAGGGCCTGTTAGTCCTAGGTTCGATTGCCAGAGGAACCATAAAAATTCATTCAATGATGGAATTAAAGTATTAAATTTCTTTGAATCTGATTAAATATATAATTCTGTAGGTGTTAATGTATCGCGGAAGCACTGGGACCTTTAAGTATGAGTTATGTAGGTGTTAATGTATGAAGCACTGGGACCTTTAAGTATGAGTTTAAGAACTTGTGTTCAAATATAAATGAGTTTTTAATACGTTAACTAATTAAGCTAGGTCTCCCCCTAGTGGTCAGTTGTGCACAGTGACAGGGTAGAGTGTACAAGTCATTTTTCTTCGTTCGTTTATCTTTTTATTTACATCTGTTCTGTTTGGTTCACAGGGTGCCGAGAGAAAAATCAGGGACGAGGAGAGGAAACTGTTCCGAAAGAAGTCAAAAGGTTTGAGTTGTCACAACAGAGCGTAGACTTTCAGAAATATGTTTTTATTAGAACTGATTCTTAGTTTTTGGTCTTCTTAGTATTTAAAGGTACTGTTTCTTTATTTTAAATCAACAATCAACTTTGTTCTCTTTATTTCCAGGAAAGGATGGTAGTGTAGGTGTCATAACAGTTCCTAAAAAGGCCGACACCACCTACTTCAAAACAATGACAGACCTGGAGGCTCAGCCCGTCCTGTTTATCCCTGATGTCCACTTTGGAAACCTACAGAGGGCTGGACAGGTACGAGACCCTCTCCAACATCTTTTGTGTTTTAAACTCCAAAAAGTATTTTTTATAAATATTTCAAAAACCACCCAAAACACGTCTTACTATAGCCTTACCACCGTGAAAAAATCCAAAAAAATAAAAAGTCCCGAAATGCCTTAAAATGCAAGAATAGGTCCTAAAACATGCTGCCAAGTGATTATTTTGCGTTTTAAACTCCAAAAAGTATTTTTTATGAATATTTCAAAAACCACCCAAAACACGTCTTACTATAGCCTTACCACCGTGAAAATATCGATAAAAATAAAAAGTCCCCGAAATGCACTAAAATGCAAGATTAGGTCCTAAAATATGCTGCCAAGTGATTATTTTGTGTTCTAAACTCCAAAAAATATTTTATTTGAATATTTCAAAAACCACCCAAAACATGCCTTACTATAGCCTTACCATCCTGAAAAAATCCAAAAAAATAAAAAGTCCCCGAAATGCACTAAAATGCAAGATTAGGTCCTAAAATATGCTGCCAAGTGATTATTTTGTGTTTTAAACTCCAAAACATATTTTATATGAATATTCCAAATATCACCCAAAACACGCCTTACTATAGCCTTACCGTCGTGAAAAAATCCAAAAAAATAAAAAGTCCCCGAAATGCACTAAAATGCAAGATTAGGTCCTAAAATATGCTGCCAAGTGATTATTTTGCGTTTTAAACTCCAAAAAGTATTTTATATGAATATTTGAAAAATCACCCAAAACACGCCTTACTATAGCCCTACCATCGTGAAAAAATCCAAAAAAATAAAAAGTCCCCGAAATGCCCTAAAATGCAAGATTAGGTCCTAAAATATGCTGCCAAGTGATTATTTTGTGTTCTAAACTCCAAAAAATATTTTATATGAATATTCCAAAAATCACCCAAAACACGCCTTCCTATAGCCTTACCATCCTGAAAAAATCCAAAAAAATAAAAAGTCCCGAAATGCCTTAAAATGCAAGATTAGGTCCTAAAACATGCTGCCAAGTGAATATTTTGTGTTTTAAACTCCAAAAAGTTTTTTTTATGAATATTTAAAAACCCCCCCAAAACACGCCTTACTATATAGCCTTACCATCGTGAAAAAATCCAAAAAAATAAAAAGTCCCGAAATGCCTTAAAATGCAAGATTAGGTCCTAAAATATGCTGCCAAGTGATTATTTTGCGTTTTAAACTCCAAAAAGTATTTTTTATGAATATTTCAAAACCCACCCAAAACACGCCTTACTATATAGCCTTACCGTCGTGAAAATATCGATAAAAATAAAAAGTCCCCGAAATGCACTAAAATGCAAGATTAGGTCCTAAAACATGCTGCCAGGTGAATATTTTGTGTTTTAAACTCCAAAACATATTTTATATGAATATTCCAAATATCACCCAAAACACGCCTTACTATAGCCCTACCATCGTGAAAAAATCCAAAAAAATAAAAAGTCCCCAAAATGCCTTAAAATGCAAGATTTGGTCCTAAAACATGCTGCCAGGTGAATATTTTGTGTTTAAAACTCCAAAAAGTATTTTTTATGAATATTTCAAAAATCACCCAAAACACGCCTTACTATAGCCTTACCGTCGTGAAAAAATCCAAAAAAATAAAAAGTCCCCGAAATGCCTTAAAATGCAAGATTTGGTCCTAAAACATGCTGCCAGGTGAATATTTTGTGTTTAAAATTCCAAAAAATATTTTATTTGAATATTTCAAAAACCACCCAAAACATGCCTTACTATAGCCTTACCATCGTGAAAATATCGATAAAAATAAAAAGTCCCCGAAATGCACTAAAATGCAAGATTAGGTCCTAAAATATGCTGCCAAGTGATTATTTTGTGTTCTAAACTCCAAAAAATATTTTATTTGAATATTTAAAAAACCCCCAAAAACACGCCTTACTATAGCCCTACCATCGTGAAAAAATCCAAAAAAATAAAAAGTCCCGAAATGCCTTAAAATGCAAGAATAGGTCCTAAAACATGCTGCCAAGTGATTATTTTGTGTTTTAAACTCCAAAACATATTTTATATGAATATTCCAAATATCACCCAAAACACGCCTTACTATAGCCCTACCATCGTGAAAAAATCCAAAAAAATAAAAAGTCCCCAAAATGCCTTAAAATGCAAGATTTGGTCCTAAAACATGCTGCCAGGTGAATATTTTGTGTTTTAAACTCCAAAAAGTTTTTTTTATGAATATTTAAAAACCCCCCCAAAACACGCCTTACTATAGCCTTACCATCGTGAAAAAATCCAAAAAAATAAAAAGTCCCCAAAATGCCTTAAAATGCAAGATTAGGTCCTAAAACATGCTGCCAAGTGATTATTTTGCGTTTTAAACTCCAAAAAGTATTTTTTATGAATATTTCAAAAATCACCCAAAACATGCCTTACTATAGCCTTACCACCGTGAAAATATCGATAAAAATAAAAAGTCCCCGAAATGCCCTAAAATGCAAGATTAGGTCCTAAAATATGCTGCCAAGTGATTATTTTGTGTTTTAAACTCCAAAACATATTTTATATGAATATTCCAAATATCACCCAAAACACGCCTTACTATATAGCCTTACCATCGTGAAAAAATCCAAAAAAATAAAAAGTCCCCAAAATGCCTTAAAATGCAAGATTTGGTCCTAAAACATGCTGCCAGGTGAATATTTTGTGTTTAAAATTCCAAAAAATATTTTATTTGAATATTTGAAAAATCCCCCAAAACACGCCTTACTATATAGCCTTACCGTCGTGAAAATTTCGATAAAAATAAAAAGTCCCCAAAATGCCTTAAAATGCAAGATTAGGTCCTAAAATATGCTGCCAAGTGATTATTTTGTGTTCTAAACTCCAAAAAATATTTTATTTGAATATTTGAAAAATCACCCAAAACATGCCTTACTATAGCCTTACCACCGTGAAAAAATCCAAAAAAATAAAAAGTCCCCAAAATGCCTTAAAATGCAAGATTAGGTCCTAAAATATGCTGCCAAGTGATTATTTTGTGTTTTAAACTCCAAAAAGTATAAATCCAAATCTCCTGTCATTTTCACCAATATAATGAAAAAATGAGCGATTTTACATTGAATGTGTTTCACTTCCAGGTGTTCACGTTCAACACAGAGGAAATAGAGAGAGAAGGGTGAGTGTGCGTCAGGAGGAAGTCTCCTGGTTCTCATCCACAGCAGAAAATATGAACGATGCAAATCAGCTGAGCTACAAACATGGAGCGCATTCACAGGAGGAACATTTATGTGTCCACGCATGCAAAGAGAACACAGCACCTATGAGTGTGTGTGTGTGTGTGTGTGTGTGGTGTCCATACAGGTGTTTGAAAGTACTTCAAATCCTCCAACAAATATAGTTTTACCACAATTACAAAGATATTGATAAAAAAGTGCTTGAAACCGTCAGTGAACCTGGATTTCTGTGCGTTCTCAGCGGAGTGTTGGTGAAGAGGATGTTCAGGGCGTCAGAAGAAGATTTGTGTCCGTCGCCTCACAAACAGATCAAAGAGGAGACGCACAAGAGAGGTAGGAGGTGACAGCCCCTCCCTGCTGTCTCTCTGTTTTTTACCAACACATTTGACAACACATTATTTGTTTCTTTTAAAGTATATTTAAAAAAAAAACCATACTGTTAGCAACACCTTCTGATATGCACTATTTACTGGTAAATGATCTGTATGTGCCAGAATATATTTATATATATGTGTGTGTGTAACGTACACTAAATGTTCTTATCTCTAACCCTGACGCCGCCTGTTTTCCCTGCAGTGCTGTTGTACGTGAGGAAAGAGTCGGACGAGGTGTTTGACGCCCTGATGCTGAAGTCTCCCACCCTCAGAGGACTGATAGACGCGGTGAGTCCACGTCTCTGCCCGCACGTCACTACAGTCAGTGCTGAGAGGAGCAGAGCGACAACTGACGGTCTGTCTTTCCCGTTTAGATATCAGAGAAGTACGGCGTGCAGACGGAGAGAATAACCAAAGTGTACAAGAAGAGTAAAAAGGGGTGAGTGCAGAAAAGGGAGTGAAGTAAGGGGTGGACATTTTGACTCCCCTTATTAACAACTCGTTTTTGTTGTGCGTCAGGATTCTGGTAAACATGGACGACAACATCATCGAGCACTACTCCAACGAAGACACCTTCATCCTGAACATCGAGAGCCACACAGACGCCTACAAGATCACGCTGACGGAGATCTGACGTCTCGTCAGCAGAGCCAAAGGACTGCAGGATTCAAAGAAAAAAATAAAAAATAAATATATGCAAACTGTGACTGACTGGGGGGACTGGAATCTACTGGGCTGCTATGGACTGGAGATAAGCTGGATGTGAGACTGGTGACCTCTGACCCTCCTGGTCTTTCTTTGACACTGTTACACAATGAAGCAAGATGTATTTCCTGTGCAGGACAATTGTATACAATTTTCTTTTTTTTTTTTTAAAAAAAAAAAGGACATTTCTGTGAAACTCCTGTGGTTTACGGTACAGATCCACGGCCTCCGTTATTTCTTCTAAATGTTTTTATTGTATAAATAACGTTAATGTTAATTCCCAGTCTGTACAGTGAGGTTTGTTTTTTTTATGTATTTTGCCAAATCAAATGTGGAGTAGCCTCAGAAAAATGTTCGATGAACTTCCTGTGAGTAGCTGCAGTTTGTATGAGTTGGTCTTCAGTCATTTCTTTTTGCATGTCTTCATTTTGTCGTTGTTTAACTTTAAATGTATTATTATTTATTAATGATGGAATGTGATGCATTTCCTAACATTTCAATAACCTGTCATTTCAGTAACGCCACCTCTGCGTCAGCAGTGAGATTTTAAAGGGTTTTATCTTTGTGTACATGTCCAGACGTAGCCAAACATTTCTATTTGTAGGGTTTTAAATAAATAACACCGTAAAGAAAAGTCAATACAGAGGAACAGGTGTGGTTTAATTCTCAGGGCTGAGAACTATCATCTCATATATATATATATATATGTATATATATATATGCATATATACATTTATAAATATATACTGTATGCACATGTATATATCTATACACATATATTTGTTTAATGTATTCATTTGTTTTCAATCCAGACTCAAAGACCCTGAGTCAGCCACTCCCGTCTCCCATTTTGCCTTTATTTCAACAACAAAATGGAATTCCTACACAGAACACAATGATGCAGGTTGACAATACAAAATCTACAAAAATGATACCATGACAAATGTGTGTCACTTTTGTTCGTCAGGTCCAGACGGCTTTAATACTGTGTTCCTTCGTCCACTGCTTCATCTACATTTGGCACTTGACCACGAGATGCTAATGAAGTGATGCCAGGGACGGACGTCCCACGTCACCTACTTGAAATGTGCAGAAACCCACAGCATTCGTCACGACTTCTTTGTCCTAATAAGCTCATATTAATCCACCTGTGAGGGTGGGAACTTCATCTGAGGATTTCACAGCAGCGTCTGTCAGTTCAACAGTCTGGAAACAGCAGAAATGTCACTAAGTCCTAACCCTTTGTCGTTACAGTTGCAATGACTTTGTCCAACGGCTACTGTCGCGGTAGAATTTTCAGACAACGTTTCAGATTTAGCAGGAGGGAGGAGGTGAATCTACGCTCCACATTAATGTCCAACTCCAATACTGGACCAAAACCCACGCAATTTCAAGCAGAACTAGGATCGCTTAACAAACAAAAGGAATTTAATTTGGCGAGGACTGATTTATTTATGTCCAAACGTCTTTGCAATAAATTCTGTTTCGTTGACTTCAGGTTTAAAATGACACAGATTCTCTGTAGTGGTTTTGAAGCTGTGTTTTTCCAGATGTTTTACTGGAAACAACACGGCTCATGAAAAAAGCTTCTGTTTAAATCTGAAGACAGCAGTGACGGGTGAGGTGAAGAGGGAGGGAGGGGGTGGAGTATCGGAGTAAAAAGTGAAATCTGACACTACTTCCTTTGTTAAAAGATGCTGCTCCCACTAAACGTAGCAGGTGACAATCAAGGAAAAGAATACAATAGCACTACCAGTGGTCCTCTCAGGATTAAAAAAAAAAACGTCGTCATGTTTCTATCATAAATATGAGTGAATACACTGTACAAACAGTCAAAGAAAAAAAAATGTTTACCTGGACAGTTCAATAATTTATGATTTTGTTTTTCGCCTTTAGAGTGAATCTTTTTCCACTGCATCCACAGTGTTTTCACACGGCAAGAGAATATATATGCACACTCTACATATATATATATTCATATCTAACTGCCTCCACTTTGTTTTTTACGTTCGTTGAAACACAACGTTAAAAAAGAGGGAGAGTCACAGCTTCTATTCTTTATGCATATGTCAACATGTCAAACTTCTGTTGAAGGGAAATGTAAAAAAAAAACTAAAACGCTTGAACAGATGATGACATCATCTGTAGTCAGACTTTTTTTTTTTTTGTAACATTTCTCCGAAATATACATTTAAAATAACTTTGACTTTTTTTTGATAAAAAAAAGAACAAAAATACAGTTTTTCATCCGATAAACTACACTTTTTTTCCCGGGCTGTAATGTGAGCCGTTCTTCATAACATCCAGTGTTAAAGTTGGAGTATAATACTTAAAAAAAAAAATCTCTTCAGTTTTCACTCCCTTTTAAAAGAGGAATAATACGTCTAAGAATAAAAGAAATACAAAGAATAACACAGCAGACCTGGATCAGACTCAGAACCTCATGAATGTTCTGACCCAAAAGTCCTTGATGGGAGTTGTGTACCGTCTACGGCCCACGCCGTCCACTACTATTCACCTTGGAGCACAAACGTGTGCAGCACTACTGAGTGGTGTCTTCACTTTGAACTGACCAATGCTGTGCGTTTGTGTGGGTGTGGGTGTGGCATGACGAGCCCTCTCTGACCCCTGGGTGTCCGTGGATTCTGAGGATCTGTTTAAATTAATAACGGAGAGTGTAATTTGAATTAACTAGAAAAAAAAGAAAAAGTCCAGTTCTACTGCCCGGCGCTGCTGGGGTCACACTGGAGCAGCCGCACGATGGACGGGTCGTTCTTCGCTCCCTCCACGAACTCTTCAAGAGACAGTTTACCTGTGGATTCAGGTTAGAGAGGAGAACTTCATCATCATCAGTGTAAAGGTCACAGTACAGAGTGAAATAAAAATATATAATTGATCTTTTACTACACAGAAACTCCAGCTCTTTTTAAAAAAAAATTAAAAGGAGATCCGGGGAAAAAAAGTCAGTGAGAAGTACAGAGACAAAAAAAAAAGTCAGTGAGAAGTACAGAGACATTAAAGGAACATTGGTGATTTTCATCCTCTCCTCGTCACATCCCTAAACACATCATTACCAGTGCAATCCCACAGAAACCATTTCCTTGCAGCTCACCCACCAGTGCACATGTCAACCACGGTCATAACTGTCACGTACCTTTTCAGATTCCAACTGAGGTTTAGATTTTGAAAAGTGTGGTCCGGTCACAGGGGGGAGGGAGGAGATGGGTTCAAAAAGGGTGAGGCTCCAACGTCGGTGACTCCACAGAAATCCACAGCAGCTTAGCTCATGTGCTCGTAGCACCTTCTCGTACCTAGAGCTGTTGTGGGCTACGGCGCCCTCCGGCTGCAGTGGTTACGAGTTAGACGCGCGCACGTGATGTAAGGAACTGGTTCGTGTTTCATTGCACTTGTAATGATATATTGAGCGAGTCACGCAGAGAAAAGAAGGATTTTTCAATCCAGTTTGGACCAAATGTTCTCATCGCTGTACTCACAGCACTGTTATTACACCACTTTTCGTTGCACAGACCCTGAAGTACCCCCCCCACCAGAATGATGTGCAATTTATATTTCTTCTACATCCAACACTGCAGTAATTTAACCCATGGCAGTCGTTTAATCCCAGGATTGTTGTGAACCCAAGGTGGAGAAACCACGACCTGAACATTTTCTTTCTGTTGTTTCCATCTTTTTTAAACTCTAGGCTTTAAAGACTACGCTTTTTTACGTCAAGGCCACTAGGGATCGGGCTGAAGTCTTACCGTCTCGATTTGTGTCCATTTGCCTAAAGATCTTGTCTGTGCGTTTCTCAGGTGTGGACTCGTCCTCGGGCATCTTCATCACGGAGGACACCATCTTGTAAATGGCCTGAAACAGAGGCAGAGACGTTAGAAACACTAGACTCATTTTCATTCCTCCAGTAAAATACATGTGAATATTAAAGCTTTCAATTCTTTGCTGGAGGAGCAGAAAGAACCCCCATCACCCAGGGAGACTCACCGTTACGATCTCCAGCATCTCTGCCCTGCTAATGTATCCATTCCCGTCCAGGTCGTACATACTGAAAGCCCACTTCAGCTTCTGGTCCAGTCGGCCGCGTGACGTCACACTCAGAGCAATAATGAACTCCCTGAAGTCGATGGTTCCGTCTCCGTTGGCGTCGAAGGTGCGGAAGACATGCTCGGCAAACTTGGAGGCGTCTCCGTAAGGGAAGAAGTTGGCGTAGATCTTCTTGAACTCCTCCATGGACAGCGCGCCGCTGGGGCAGTCCCTCAGGAAGCCCTTGTACCACTCGGTGATCTCGGGCTCGGTGAAGTCCGTGTTCTCCACCAGGTCCTGCATGACGTCGGGGCGGAGCTTGCTGTTCTGTTTGCCCATGGCTGCAGCTTCTGTCGGGTGGTGGTGGTGGTGGAGGTGGTGGTGGTGGTTGTGAGGATGGCGGTGCTTTACACTGAGGAGGTGGAAAAGAAGGACAGAAGGAAAAAAAACTTGAGTGATATGAGTGAAAAGTATTTTTTTATAAATGTAAATGGACAGTATGTTGACTCACTTTATTCTGAGAACCATCTATGCTCTTTAATAATCAGAACTGTTCCAGCAGCAACAATAGTCACTCTTGCTCTTACTATTAAGTGTTGACCTTTTCTCAAACATCAGCACTTCACTGAAATTAAAATGAACCATGAAAAACCAAAGAGGACATTTTTGTCTTTATTTCAGGTTAAATCTTTATATATTTATTTGTTGTTGTTGTAAAAACCATGACACTGAATGTCAGACCAAAACACCTACAAATTTGGTCTGGTTATTTCCCGTGCATATGCTGCACCATGACGACGGAGAGCTTCAGCGTGCAAAAACACACCACAGATGCACAACCTAACCTGCACATGCAGAGCAGGGCACACACACACACACACACAAACATGTGCCACTGATAACCCCGTACCTGTCAACTTCAGCTGCGTGTGCATCTCTGCACATGCAGCTGCGGAGGCAGTGATGCCTCGACACCAATAATCTACATCCTGGGGTTTGATAGAGTTGTCATGGCAGTTACACAGTCGACGGCAGAGAGTAACAAACGAGCTGATGTACTGGTGTGATTTACAGGAAACACCACAAAGCCATCTCTCTGCTGAGTTTCACTGCTGCACACTCTCTCTCTCTCCAGGCCTCAGAGCAGAGAAAGAAAGTGCAGTGAGCGGTAGCTGAGGTAAAACAACAAAACAAACCACAGATCAAACACACGATGTCAACTCAGGTCATGGCGAAGTACGGCAGGAAGGAAGTCCATGTGTACCGTTCCTCACAGAGTGTTTGAAGGGAAATCATACAGAGTAAAAAAAGGATAACCTCATGAAACCTACTGACTACATTTAGCCAGTAGTCAAAAAACTCATAAACAACAACAACAAATCATTTTACTGGGTAATTAAAAAAAAAGACATTTCAGGCGACCACATTTGAATTTGAGGTGACCCTACATCGGCTCTCGAACCAAAGGTTGAAAAACAATGACTTACGTACATTTTTTTTTTAACGTGTCAGATGTAAAAACCAAACAAACAAAAGTATTTGTGGTATACTGTATACAGGTGTAAAAACCAAACGTAAAAGTATTTGTGGTATACTGTATGTAAAAAACAAAAAAACGTAAAAGTATTTGTGGTATACTGTATACAGTGGTGGAGATGCAGTAAATGTAAAATGGTGAATGGCGTCCACACACTGGTCGTCTGAGTCACCGTGGCTCAAAGGTAACAGGAAACATGACAGCTTCAGTGCAACACTGGAAATCTGCCCCTTCTGCTCACAAAATAACTTCATAATGAGAATTAACAGACAACACTGACAGACCTTACATGTCTGTTGCTGTAGAAATGTCTTTTCCATCAGCTTATCAGCAGACTGCAGCTGCCTGAACTGTTGGGATAAACAACCAACAATAATCCTTCAATTAACAGCAGGCTAAACAATGGGCTCTGGCCATGTGTTGCCGTCCTCTAACGAGTTCCCTGTTGTTACCTGTAATTCACTTGAATGCCCGGGTGAGAGAGAGATTAACGGCAGTTTAAACACTCCACGCTGCTGGAACAGAACTGAAGTCAGCAGCCACACAGGCAGCTCGTCCGCTTCCTAATTAGACAGAGGTTAATGGCTGCGAGCTAATGTTGAGATGAAGCTAAAGAGACCAGTTTGTGGAGGAGGAAGATGAAGCAAATTACATTTTTCCCCCCATAGATACCACTAACGCAAGGGTGCATAAAAGAGACAGCTGTAATGTGGTACGAGTGGCCAATCCAACTGGCGACTCGTGGGCCACATGAGGTACACACACATCCTCAGAGAGGCCCAGTCTGTGGTGTGCTGAGGGAAACTGAGTGCATCACAATGGGCAATTAATTCAAAATTTCCACAGCACAACAGACCATGAATGCAACAATTAAGGTAGCCTAGCAACGTGCAGTCCACAGCACATCACTGTGTGGAGTTCCATTTACAGCCACACGCTCACGAAAACGTGAAACGATCAACTCTGTTTTCTGGACAACGGCTTCAGTCCAAACCTGAACAACCCCCGTCAACAGTCGCCTTAAGAACACGACTATTTGTGTCCCTGCTGAGATCACAGCCTACAAATTAAACCACTAAGACTCTTACCTGCTGCTGCTGCCGTTGGCAGACCTCTGATAACGCCATTACATAACCTTAAACCTCATCTTCTACAGTTCACGTGGTTGACGACAACTTTGTACCACGGGTCGTTCCATGAGTCCAGGACCAGTATGTGGTCACTGGTTTAAGGCCCCCCTGAGTGTGTCTGAGACCAGAGCAGAAATGGCCTGTGATCGAGGTCACGACCTTTAGTCTGGTCAGGTAATACCAAGGGACACACTGTCCCTCTCAGGTACTAATGCCACACATGTCAAAATATTCTGCTGATACCGGTGTTAAACCACGTCCATTATATAAACATGACCTCATGGCCATGTCCGTTATTCTTAAAAGAAAATAAATACATAAAAATAAACCTGATCCTGTCACAGTTTCATATGAAGAAAATGCCTGGCATCACCTACAGCATCCATACCAAAATAAAGCCGACTTCAGCAGAGACAGCTGACGAGCGTAGCACCTTATGGGCTATAAAAGCCTCAGACATCTGCCCCTCAGGTTGAGACACTTCAGGTAGTTCAGGCTACAGTAACAGTCATTTCACAGTAACTGGGAAGTAAAACGCAAAACAGCTGCAAAAACAGCTGCAAAACTCTTACATTCAAGACGATGTGACACAGCAGGTGAGGAGAGAAGACCAGAACCAACACCCCCCCCCCAACCTCCCAACATGATTTTTCCCAGTACATCTTGTTGCCCACTTACATAACAGGCAGAGGTCTCCTTTTTATATCCCGCAGGTAAGTCTTGACCCCAGGAGTCCCACGGATAATCCCTGAGCCACAGTGAGAGAGAGGGAGAGAGAGGGAGAGAGAGAGAGAGAGGGAGAGAGCGAGCTGGCTGCAGGCCCACGCTGAGCCCTAAGAACTGAAAAGAGCCTCTATCACAGACACTCAGCTTATGAATGAAACATTCATAATGCAACGTGATCCATCCGTCAACTGGCTGCACAGCCGGGGGCATTTATCCCTGACCTGACAGGGCTTATGAAACCAGCAGGGGGACGTAATCTGATATCTGACTTGATAGTCCTTTTTTTTTTCCTCTCCTCCCACCGCAATATTAAAAATGACAATTATAATAAGTTGGAAATTGGGGAAAAAAAACACAGGGGGATGTGGGGGTGTGGGGGAGGGGTGCACTAGAAGAAATGTGACGCTTAGAACAACACTGTAGTGTCTGAAAACTAAAGGCAAATTTTCTTTGTTCATTTATTATTATATTATATAATATTATATTATTTATAAGTTGTTGTTTTTTATGACAAACTTTAGCCTTTTATTTATATTTATATATATACTGCAAACGTACAAAAAGCTCTGATTTTAGGCTCTTTAAATGGACAGAAATTCTGCAACAAAGAAAAATAGGGTGCAATATAAAAAATATTATATATATATATATGTATATATATATATATAACACCTGTGTGTGTGTTTGTAACTTCCAGCTTTTTAAAATGGTTTATTGTACTATTTGTTTTGGACCTTTTAAAATACAATGAGTTATTGTTGCCATGACTGATTTATTGCCTAACTTTAATGTTTGTTTATGAACGTTTTTCATCAGATACAACTTCCTCTACGTTCTTAGTAACAGTCATCAGATTTTTACCACAGTCACATTTGCTGATTATACACAAATATCTATGTTTCTGCGTGTAATCAACCGCTGTCTGTTCAGTTGTCACCAGAACTTGACTGATAGACCTCCACATCAACCAAATATATGTTGTGACAACAGGTCGGTCGCTTTTCCTCAGTATAAAAGTCAACATGGTCGTGTGGTTTCACAGCACTGTGAACGGGGAACTTTTGAAAGCTATTTTAGGGTGGTTTTTTTTCAGCACGTGTTTTGACCAACTCGAACGTCAGAGGGATCAGAGGGACAGAGCGGCTCATGTTCCACAAACAGAGGGTCAAACCGTGGGCTGTGTCCAAGTAGTGGAAAGGCCTGGAACACTGCTGCGAGCTCATCGCCTGTCTTTGATTGTGTTCCTCTGCAGCCAATGACAAATTGCACCGACATTTGCTGAGTGAAAATAAATCATTGAACCAACACAGTGTGACCCTCAAAGGCAACCCTTGACCTATGGTACAAAAGGTCAGCAGTCACATTCCGATGCAGTGAAGAGCAGAGGCAGAAAAAAAAAACCCAAAACAAATGGGAGAAAATTTCCTCTCAACACTCAGGGGTTTGAATCCCACCCATGACGAACGGATGGTTTTCAGTTTGAATCGTAACAACAATATGAATGTGATCTTATCCTTTATCTCAAACTAAGATCTATGATTCACCACCAACCAAATCACACCACTACTATCTACTGTCATTAAATCAATCACCAGATGTACAAAACCAGAAAAGCCGTGGTTTGCTGTGTGAAACTCCACGGTTCCTCGTCTCTGCCTTTTGGCTCCGATGCTACATTTTTCACAGCTAATGACCTGCATCTCTCATCCTCATCTGGTCACACCACATTACTTCTGTTCCCTCCTTCCTCTTCCTCTTCAAGATGGCTACTGCGTTTTTTTTTTAATGTCATGTGTGATCAGCAAACACGTGCGGCTGTGACACCACTAGCAGCAGCTCAGGCATAGCTTTGGGAGCAGCACAGCTCACATTACAAGTATCATGACCAGCGATGCCCAGCGTAGCGTGCCTTTGGAGGCAACTGGAATATGTGGGCGGAACTCTATCTCCTGTTTTATTTAGTCTAAGGTCAGGGCTGGACCACTGGAGAGGAGCAGCAGAAGGAGCCAACGTCTTCAGGTGGAGACTGGGTTCTATTGCCTTCTGGACAATTACTGAAAATAATGAAATCAGTCACAATGGTGCAATTAGATAATATACAGCTGTCAACTATAAAAAAATGTTATTGTTAAAATTATATTGTTATTTTTCAGTCTAGGAATACCAAAGCGCAGCTTTGACCATTTGTTTCTTGTTGTTTTTCCCTGTGTATTCCCTGTGTGCATCCAAAGATTTCTGGAAACTACAGTTTACACAACAAGGACTATTTAAAGCTATCAGATATTACGGAAAAATCCAGGTCATGTGACTTAACATGTGAAAGTTAAACAAACTTCTAAACTTCTAAAAACCACCAACTGCAACAAAATTTAATAGATTTCACATTAGCTGCCAAAATGATACCTCGATCATTTACACTTTCTTAAACTCATATATTACTGAAACTGATGTTTGGCATCAATAACAGCTGATAACAGGTTTGTAATCACCATATTACACTGTTCTGTCTGAGATGTGTGCAGCACTGTA